AAACTGATTTGCACGAAGCGTTATTCGCAGGGAACTCTAGCTCGTAATGTCAAAAGGTGCAACTTGATAGCACGAGTGGCCCAAACAAATCCCTCCTCCATGTAACTGATGTTTCTCGGTGAGAGCATTAGCCCCGTTAGTGTAGTAAATGTTTTGCGAGGAAAATGACAGTGTTCCTTTCACGCTGAACGGTGAGACCCCGCGCCGACCTAAACGGAGCTTTGAGGGGGTTCCCCTCTACGTACCTCACACGGGGAACCGCCCCAGCAGGGCAAGCTCCAAGCTTCCGACTGGTTTCCCAACATGTCTGGTAATGTGGGTGATGTAAGTGTGTATGCGCAATGGGAGAGGACAGGAGAAGGAAGAGGACGGAAATATCGCGCGCGCTCCGTGCTCCGTTTGTCAAGAGTACTGCTCCGGCATTCGCCGAGTATTGATGGGAGAAACCACAGAAAACTACGGCTCAGAGCAGCCGGCCGCTAGACGTCTGCACCGAACAGCGTCGAAAAGCCTGCCGCCGCCTGGACTCGAAGCGCAGGGCCTCGCGGCAATGCTGGCGCTGAGCCAAAGGCAGCCGGGTACATGCAATGGACCACTTCGCCAAAGTAGAGAAGTAAAAACATCGCGGAAACTTATGCGTGCGGTTCGATTATGCAAGTGTTACAAAAATAAGTTACGTACATTGTTATATTTATTAACATTTCTATGTTTATATCATTGTGCGTACAGTGTTGCCAAGTTTTGGGATTTGGGGGGGGATCTTGTCCCTCTGTTGGCCAAGGTCCGGCATGACCTTGACCCGTCGCTTGCGAGGTTTTCTCAAACACGTATCCCCGCCTCGGCGGCACCTAAGTCGCGTCACGCCACGACTGGTCTCCCCAGCATGCCGGTTAAGTAGTGCATTTGTGTGGTGTGTGTGTGTGTGTGTGTGTGTGTGTGTGTAAGTAGGGGCGTAGGATAATACAAGGAACAGGACGGAAATATAGCGCGCCGCCCATTTGTCATGATACTGCTCCAGCATTCGCCTGGAGATGATAGAATAAACCACAGAAAACTACCAATCAGAGCAGCCAGCCTCTAGAATTATCCTCCAGGCAGCCACCGAATTCGACCAAGCTAACAAGCTAGTGTCGAAAATATTGCTAGCGTTGGGGTTCGAACCCTAGAACTTCCTGCTCAGAGGTACTGTAGTGACATCAGTTGATGTCCTGACTCAATTAAGCCGATGTGCCATTGCCATCACTAGGGTACATTTACATCTTTGCTTTATGTGTTCTCTCCCTCCTAGAAATCCATATTGTTTTGAAGCAAAATAATTCCAGATCGCAATTCGATAGCTTGAAAACAATTTTTTTACCTTCTATTAAGTTTGGTTTTCGTTTTTGAACACAGAAATCACGAATTCGAAATTAATGAAAGCATTTTTAATATAATTTTTTAACATTCTCAAAATAAATGACTATTATTCTTTTCAGTTTGCAAGTTACTTGATTAACCGCTACTCCAAAAATCAACTACAACGGGTTCCCTACTTTGTCTAAAAACACAGCGATGAAATGTCTTTCCTGATCATATTGCACTTTGAAATTATGAGTTAAAGAATGAGATTGGGAAATGTAATTTTAAAAAAATAATGAATTTTATAGGTAAAACAAGGGATTTCAAACTGTGCGTCACGGCCATATGGTAGGGTGATTTATTAAAAATTATCTTTTAATTTGATTTCCTTTAATCCTTGTGACATTTATGTCTACAAAATAATGTAGAACTAATACTATATGTTTATTGTAATATATGAATTATTTTACTACTTAATTGTGGATTAACTGAACCTGTCAAGCCCTTCACCAATAGTCTATTTATTACAGCCACATCTTTTTGTCGATTCTTTAGTAGGCCTATGTTAACCCTTATCCTTGAAACGTGTTGTTACCACGGGAGCCGCGAGCAGTTCAGTTTAGGTGTACAGAGCCGTGTTCGAAAAAAGTTTGAAAACCCGCGGGTTAGAAGAACGAGTGTCGGAACCAACGAGTCGCACTTGTGTGAGCAGCCACTTGGCAGCGCGCCGCCCAGAGCCCACGGGGGAGGGGGGAGGGGGGGGCGGAGAGGCGGCTACGAGGTGGCTCGTTTCGGGGGCCTCAGCCCCGCCCCCGCAGCAGGTGGCTCCCACCGCGGCTGTTTTTTCGGGTTCTTCTTTCAGTTCGCCACACACACCCAAGCTTATTTTTCTTACCAATCTAACATACCTACACTGATATATTGACACTTAGACCTGAGAATGGTTCATCTTATAATGTTATAGAAATCTTATATCAACACCCTCAAAAGGCAGAAATGACGAAGAAGAAATAAAATAAAAAAAGAAGAAAAGAAGAAGCGTTCGCCATTGGTAGTCCAAAACGCGCACAGCCACCGACCGACCACTTGCCGCCCACCATTCCATGGGACGTATCGCTTGGTAGGGGTCCGCTTGCTATCTGACCTACTCGTTTTGCCATAAATGAACGCGATCAGAGCGCGCCCAGGATTTTTTTCGAGATGTTGGGGACGGGGAGCGACTATGGTTTTCAGTCGACCCGACGTGTTCTTAGAAAGAATGTTTCATTGATGTTGCGTATAAACGTATTTTAATTTGTTGACTTATAGATATATTTATAATAATGAATTTGATTTTATTAAATGACTTTAGTTCCTACTCAGACTTTCGTTGAAAACTATATTTATGAATGTGTACCACTGGCTTCTGAGGGGATAAAGACCCCCCCACCCCCCTGCTTGGGTGCACCACCGATCCGAATGCTTTCTTTTTAGCCTTCTTGTCGATAGCACCATTGCCTACGGCAAATTTCTTCCATTTCACTATCGTCTCGTCCCATCCCAATAGGCCCATCCTACAAACTACGTTATTGCAAATAGTTTCCTTTGAAACGTTGTTTTCTCGGCGAAGTAAACAAGGAAAACTTAATATTTTTCATAAGAGACCTACTAAATAAATAAATATTCCCACCCTCTCGACGTGGCCCTCGATGTAGTCCTTCCCGTGTGGCTGTCGCGCTCCGTGTCGCGCCCACGCGGCCCCGCGCAAGCCACGCCCCTCGCGAGAGCGCCGTCGGCAGCCGCTTCGGGAGCGTCGCTTCGGGCCATGGCGGCCGGGACGAATCAGCCTGCTCCTGCTTCTCTGCCAGGCTGGGTGGGTGATTAGGTGGACAACTGCTCGTTGGAGTGCTCCACGTCACATGACAGAAAGGATACGAAATAACTGTCGAGGTATCCTAAGGTAGATAGGTGAAGGCGTGCACCCCGCTATTCTTCAGCTTGTGCACTTTCCTAATAAAAAGAAATCTTTCTATTCATCGGGTGATCTTGGTTGAAGTGCGAATTAAAATGATTTTACATAGCTTTTCACTTATATTATTGTTAAATTTTCCACATCGAATACATTTCTACTAATCTTTTTATTAATATTTTTCAAAACTTACCCAGTTTAGTGGTCATTCACATCTACGTTTCCATTATTAATGAAGGTTTGCAACATAATTATACAATATTAACGGGTAATTAAAAACAATTTGGAGGGAATCTAAAAGTTGCTTAAATACCCACTTCTTGAAAGAGAATAAGTGAAAACAAAACTTAATACTGTTAACGCGCATATTATCGAAAGTACGAATATATTTCTCTTCTATGAGAATATTTATAGACAATGAACCAACGAACTCCTTTTCTAATTAAAAATCTTCTTAAAGGAAAAAATCTTGGAAAGAAAGGTAGAAAGAGTCTATGAACCTAGAGTTTTGTAGGTGTCAACTTGAAAGTAGAATTGCACAACTCCCCTGATAAGGCGGACAGAAAGCATGATTTCCTCGACCTGGTAGAGTGCTCATCGTATAATATTATTTGAGTTAGGGATGCAAAATGAAACAAAAGCCAGAGAGATCCTAAACTCCTACAAGCCTCCCCGACAACGAGCACAAAAGATAAAATAAAAAAAATCTTGAAAATATACGCAATTAATAGTTTGGCCTCGTTGTGTTCTTTTATAATCGTGTTAGATTGCGTAATACGCTTTCCAAACTGAATGCTAGCGGATTTCCAGTGTAAGAAGACACAAGACATTAGACAAATGACCACTTGCTAGTGTCGCTGTGGGGTATAACATGTTATTCCTCGCCACGTACCGCGTGGCAAACAGGTTAAGCGCTTCAACGAGCGTTCTTAACATCTCAGCTCCCCGCGTGACGCTGCATCGTAAATTGCACAGCCACTACTCCGTCGTTTCACCTCTTCTACTTTATTCTGCAATAAAAACAATATTATGGCGATAAAATAGTTATTTCTAGTTTTTCATAAAATAATGTGGGAACCAATGAGAGATGTGAGATTTCATTTCAGTCAATCCTTTTATTTATTTTTCATTTTACTATTTACCAGTTATCAGTTTTAGTCGCCGTATACCTCGCGAAAACTGATTTTCATCTATTCATTTAAATTGTGTTATACAATTTATTATTATTATTATTATTATTATTATTATTATTACTATCAGTCATAGAAATTGTGTTTAAACAGAGTTTACTCCAAGTCACTGGAGTAAAATTAAGTGATTTGAGACAGCTTGAATAGCATTTCTTCATTTTTTTACAACTCGCATTTCAAAACTTTTTATTCTGTAAATATTTTTCATTTCTTTTATCATTACTGTCATCTATAATATCAATTATTTTCATTATTTGAAAACTTGTTTATATTCACCGTTACTTTTGAAAAATATCTCAATTTTCCATATCATTCTACTTAAAGGAAACAGTAAACCATTGAACCGAAAGCATTATGTCTTGTGGCGTAACTGATCTTGATATCTCTAAGAAACTTTATGTATTTCAATTGTGTAAATGCTATGTTGCAATCCACCCATCAGCCTGCGGAAGGCGCGGGCGCTGCGGCTCGGGCGGGCGGGCGCGGTGCGGGCGACAGGGCAGGGCGATTGCCGGCAATGAGGACTAATTGCGCGCGCATACCAAACGGCGCTCGGCGGCCACCCTCCGCTCGTCCGGCCCGACGCGCCCCACCGCAGCCCAGCTGCGCACGCGCGCCGACGCTCCACGCCTGGGCCCAAACGCATTGCATTCGTCATTATCAACGCATCATGGAATACATTTACACGGAGGAGGTGTCACATAGTCACGTCACGTACCGTCTCGGCGCATACGTATTATTAACATTATTTATTAGCATTAGTCGTTACCCAAATGTCGATGAAAATGGCGCTATATTACTATCTTCAACGAATCCTTTTAGAACCTGAAATTATTCATAACAATTTAAACGTTTCGGCTAAATAATTTCAGATATATAATTACCTAACTATACAAAATAACTGTTTAATATGTACTTTAAAACAAAAGACCTGACAGTTCTAAAAGACGTTTGTTCACGACTGTGAATAAAACTGGCACATTCGTGCGGTTGCTCACATAAACTTAATTTTTTTTTTAATCTGCAGTCTACATCATTCCCGTGATAAACATTGACCGTTGAGTTTTTGGATCATCAACATCGTTGATTGGTTCACAAAGAAACGTACAACGTCCACAGTGAAAACCTTCACCCTCTTCCTTCGCGCGGTCGAGTGCGAGTACAACCTCTCGGCCAAGAACGTCGGCGCCGTCCACTCGCAGCCCCATCGAGAAAACCCGTTGGCTGCTTCAAATACTACGAGGGCCCCAAGACTCGCGCCTCGCACCCCCTGCACCGCGGGCCAAAGGCACACAACACGGCGTAGAAATGCACGTACGGGAAGGACCCCATTTTGTCTTCTATCTATATGTTCTTTCTACTTGTTATAGCAGAAAGCAGTTTTAAAAAATCTCTGTATGTGACGTATGGGGCAAAAGCACAGTCTTCTAATGTGTTTTGGAGCTACGTAATCGTTACCTCACCTCCTTTACTATTAGTTTAATTATGAATAAAGGTAGCAACAAGCGTTTCTAACGACATTTTATAACAAGAAACATTCTATCCCTTTTAATAGAAACTATTTGTTTCGGTAAACAAGTTACATATTTTGTTTCGCATCACAACTGACAAAATAGCTAAACGCTCCACCCCTCTCGCATCTAGGAAAAACAGACGTTATGAAACGTGTGTAGGTAGTGAAGATTGTAAATCAATCGAAAGTTGATTTATTACAGGATTAGTAGATATCTATCATGTTGGGTTAATAAGAAATATGAAATGAACGATGAGATGAAAATGCTAAACACTTATGGGCCAAACCCTTGACTAAAAATCTAATGAGAACAATTAAATACTCCGTTTTCTAGTTTTAAAGAATTGTAATTGAACATGTAGATTTTAATTTCAAAATAAAATACTTGGAATTAAAACTCGGGTGTTTTTGGTATGCACAGATAACATTACATAAATTATTATTTTGGGTATGGCATTTAAGAAGTCTTTCTAGAAAGGATCTTGCCATCTTGAAGCAAATCGTTCTCGTCCAACCATAATTTATATTCACGATTTCGAACGCCAATTTTTAGAACTCTTGGGGAACACACTCTCCTGAATATCTTGTTCAAAATCATTTGGGAATTGTCACCATAAAAACTAATGTGTTCTTCGTTCAAATATGAGAATAAATATTTAAGGACAAAACATTACAAGTTCCCAAACCCCCTCAACCATTCTGCCTCACCATTACATAACAAACGTCTTCATTAAGGAACTCCATTCTTAACATACCCTATGCAAATTGATGAATAATTCATGGCGACTCCTAACTTTACATTCATTAACACACGAAGTAATACATTAACAAAAGAGCAATGAATTGGCAAAAGCTATGCATTAGTAACGCTTCAAAACAAGAATTGCGAATGTGTGAACAAATGGGCAGGAACTCCACAGGCATACACACTAAAATAGGTTACTGAGGGTCATCCGCATGTGAATGGGTGTAATACACCTTGAAAACTACGACGAAACTGAATCTTTGAAGGAGAATGAAGATCTTAGCGTGGAGGACAAGAGGATTACAATTCCAGGCATTAAAAACAGGCGAACATGATTGATTATTTCATTATTTTCTAAAAACAACATTTTATCTCGAATATATCAACGACATTATTTAATTGCTAATAACTTTGAGGGATGCATTGTTCATTCGTAAAAAGCAATGTCTGGTTGTAGAAATAATTCCTCTGGCTCACAGACGCCAGTTGTTTTTTTTCGTAAGTTCGTAGTAAAATAATGCATATTGGAGAATTCAACACAATATTAAATTTCAGCCACAGTTCTTAAATTTGGACGAATAATGTCATTTCAGAATACAGAGCGTTTTAGTAGTGAGAGAAAGAACCTTCTCTAGATTCGTGTTCATTACTTTTTCAAAAGTGAAATTAGCTACTGAGAAAATGTTAAAAATCGTCATCCTATAAATTAAACAGGAGGTCATTAAGAGAAATACCTTTAGCTGTAAAATGAAATAATTATATGAGTAATTGTAAATGCCAACGAAAACTCACTACAATACCAACTTTCAGCAGAAATTTAAAAGAGATTTTCTGAAGCAGGATTTTCCTTAATTGAGATTATTGTCGCATGAACGTTCAGCAAACACCAATATTTTCTGTCAAAATATTTTAGTTCTCTAAATAATTAATGAAACATCAGGAGTTCGAGTCAAGAATTAGTTTTCTCTGCAATTGTCTGACTGAAGATAAATGACTTATCTTTCCGACGACGAACTTATACAATTAACTAAAGAGATACAAGAATATAGATCGATTTAGTCGGGCTGATTTACTCTCCACACGTAAAAATAAATCCAGTTGCCCCATCAGGTATCGCGCAACCGCGCATTTCCCGGCATAAAAGAGAGCAAAGCATTGGTTGACACCATCGCTCAAGTCGCATTAACGGCAGACCACACGCGGGGCGCTTACCGCTGGCGACAGTAAAAGCGAACATCGCGATTCACGTCACGTTCCGCGAGCTCCGTCGCGGCGCCGCGCGCACCGCGCCCACCATTCTCGTACTCACCCGCCGACGGGCGCAGGGGAGAGGGCGGCGTCCCCGTCGCCCGGCAGGGCGCGCGGCGGGGGCGGCGGCGGCGGCTCGGCGCCCGCGCGGCACTCCAGCAGCAGCGCCAGCAGCAGCGGCGGCAGCAGCGCCGCCCGCAGCAGAGCTCCCGCGAGCGCAGCCATCGGACGTCAACTCACGCACTGGCGGCGGCGGCGGGCGCGCGCGCGAGAGACTCTGCGGGCGGCCCGCCCCCACTCCGCGCCCGCCTCCGCCGCCGCCGCCGCCGCCCTCGCCCTCGCCCCGCTCTCCGGCGCGCCTTCAGCCGGCAACAGACGCCCCGCCGAGCAGTAATATCGTGCAGACGCGATCTAAATTGGACAGAGCGGTGGCGAGCGCGCCGCACCCGGGGAGGTCCTCCGCGGGCCCTCGGCGCCGCCTCTGCCAACGCCTTCAATCGCTGGGATTCGCTCAAAGGCCCGACGTCCGCACGGCGCTTCTCCCAAGTTGCCTAGCCGAGGCTTTATTGACTTGGTTAATTGATTACAACGATCTTTCACATAAAAGTAAGCATCTACTTTTTATTTGACATATCACGTGCGCTCAACCCATCTGAAGTCTGAAAAATAAAATGTCTTTCAGTTCGGTCCCTGCTAATATAATCGTGAATATATTTAACCTCACACGTCGAAACAAACATGAATAACAAAAATTAATTTTTCACTCCATTAATATAATGGAACTGCATCATCACATACGTTCTCTTATCATTTTAGAGGTTATTATAACACTAGTTGCACCCGTGCGGAAATTTCGCGTATTTCAACTCTATCTCTTATGGTGGCCAGCAGCGGCTTACTTCACCGCGGAGTCACCTCATCGTCCCGACACAAGCCTTTGTTGTTTCTTGTTGTTTTTTGTTTTTTTTTAATTTATTTCTTCACGTTCGACCTGAAGTCCTTCGTGGGATTTCAGTTTTACATGCTCAGTTACAATCCTTCGTTAAGTCTGCGATGCGCACGCACTCCCAGCGAGTTAGTTATTGGCTGCATCAACGCTCTCAGCGCACCGAGAAAGTACTCCACTGCCGTTTTCAATATTTCAGAGGTTTTATGAAAAATCAGACCTATGGCATATTATTTAGTAAACAACGCGTTGTTTAGAAAAAATATAAACCTTTTTTTGAGAAAATCGCATGTATTTTTATTTGGAATCACAACAATACAAATTAGAATTTTTTGTCATGGAATCTGATTAAGATTCCTTTGACCGGAAACTTCGCACCCACGTCAAGATGAAGTTAGCCGATGTGTCTGCCTGTTCTTGGCGCGACACCCCAGGGCCTATCAGCAGCAACCACGCGGCTACAGGTTCAAGCAGAATGTGTAGCTGGCACGAAGACATCCCCACGCCGTATTCTGGTCTTCTCAACCTGAGAAGTGAGCTTTCTCATCGTCACCCGGCAACATATACTGAACTCTACAATGTCGTCCGGCCGGGAATCGAAGCCGGGGTCGCGTCATGGAAAGCGAGCACGTTGACCAAAGGGCTAAACCGCTGTTCTGAAGATGGTTCAAACCGGAGGCAGCAGCGAGGCGAGGATGCCCGCGTGGACGCGTCACGCACAACTGCGCTCATTACACATAAGAAGCATTTCAGCTCAAACTTGGGAAAGACGTCGCGAATAAGATATAGTTGTGCGCAAGATACTTTAATTCTGGAGAGGGGTACTCTAATTTTTTTATTTTTTCAGTGTCATTTTCAGCGAATAGAAATGCATTTATAAGTCGAGTACTTTTCCGTTTTTCATTTTCATCTCTGACATTTTGAAAATTGCAAACCTTTAAATTCAAAACACTAAAGTTTCTCGTTTTGAAAGAAGTTTGACAGTTGCACTCAACCAAATTCCGTAATTTTTACTTGAAATGAAAGGTAGTGGGCTCCCGATATTTTATCGCTTGCTCTATTTAGATCCGGTTTATAATATAAACATTTAATTTTAAATAATACCCCAACTTAACACATGATCGCTTACCTGCTGACGTTTGTTCATTCAGTTGTGCGAATTGCAATCGATCAATCAAAAATATTCTCTGTTTCGTCGTTTACGCCACCAGGCGTGTGCGAGTGTTCGGCTATAGTTGGAGTACGATGGTGTTTTTTTATTGCAAGTACTAAAGAGCGTAGAACATAAAGGTAATATCCTGCAATCGTTTGAAACATGACCCTTGCAAAAACGTTCCAGTGATTATAATACTATGTGATGGGTAACGTTTTTAAATGAAGATGGATAGTAGGATTTCTTGCGGGGTTTTCTTGGCGATTTTCTATTTTCTATTTTTTAGATATACAAAACTGAGATATAAAGCTCTTTGTTTATTTTGATGTGGTCGCTTAATGAAATCTGTTCAAGAAAATTAGATCTTTAAATATGGTTATGTACTGTTTCATGTTTGATTTTTGTTTTCAACTTTGATTCATATATTCTAACTGAATGCATAAACAATTAACGGTATTATATTATAAAATTTCTTGCAATCGTAACTCCACGAATCGCATCCGACGTGATATACTTCTCCTCATATCCCTAAAACGTCAAATTTGACGCCAATGCACATTTACATCACCTCTCTTTTAAAAAGCGAAACTTATCAAAACTACGGAAGCAGTCCACAACGCCCTTACCCAGCATCATAGGTAAACATTTCAACAGCAGTCTTAGCTTGCTGGTATGAGTGCTGGTAACAGATATTATGTTGATAGTACTAAAGGGCTAAAGCTGTAACGAAAGAAAAAGTAAATTGCGTACCCACCACAATCATAACAGATGCTGGAAGTGTTGCTCTCTTCACATGTTTCGGAGTGAACTGTTTACTAACAACATAAATGCAATTTTATAATAGGAAGCCCTCACTCGGCTCGATGCCGAGAGGTTGTGTTATGGACAATATGTTTATTTTAAGTCGCATCAACCACTTAGGTTATTAGAGACTTTTCTGGCGCACTGTAATTTTAGATCAAAAATTAGTTAGTACACATGTTCACTATAAAATTAGGCAGCCTGTTACCTATTTCAAATCTAAACTTTAGCAACCTTTGATTGCAGTTTGTGACACTGTTAATACATTTTGGTAGCCAACAGCAGCAATGAAAGTGGATTAAGCCTCAAAATATTGATTTTTGCTATTTTAACTTTTTAAACATTTGATTTAAATGCTTCATTGTTGTCAATACTGATAGAAAGAAATCTTCCTTAGACGTATAGAAGGGAGTCGTCATCCCATTTAACTACATCTGATTAATGAATTACATTATTTTCCATTACTCCAGTTGGAATTGATTTACTTGGGCGCAGATTGGCAAAATGCACAGCTAGTTTAAACAGGTAAAACAAGTCAGTGTACTCGCATCAGTTGAGAAATAAATTATATAAGTTGAACCATCATCAAATATGGTTGTGTTTTCTGGTAGTTTGTCTACGTTATCAGAGTCTACATGAAACTGTCTTCTAAAGCTCATGATATATAAAAATTAAGATCTGGAATGCCTCCTTTGAGAAAACTTTTATATGAGCATTGAATCTTTCTTTTGACTAATTGATTTTCAATTATAGCATGGAGAATGAAGGGGCACACATTTCAAATGATTGTTTTGTTTACTAAAACTATGTCTGACATTTAGTTCTTTATTATATAAGTTTAGGAACTTGAATTTATCAGTTACGTAGTCTGCAATTTGCTTAGTTCTGAGAAAGACACATATTCTGATATTGGAAATACGGAACACAAATCTTATATCACAGGCGCTAACAACAGAGGCTAACTTACTTGTGTAGTCTTTTATGGTTATTCCTTCTTGAAAGCCTACTACAACGGCTTGAGTTTTGCTCGGGAACATCTCGCAGCGCTGACGTTGGATTTCTTGGCATCAGCGCTTGGTTGAACGTTCGATCAAACTTTGGTTATTTTGACAATTTCGGATGAGGCCATGGAAAATAGCAAGAGGCCAGCCATGGCTACGGCTGCCAGCAAAATATTGGTTAATATTCCTTCTATATAGTTAGTAGCACTAAATGGCACTGCATTTGTACACACTTTAGTCGTGACACAGCGTAGTATGAGACATCGAATGAAGCGGATCGCGCACAATACAGCGACGTGTTCACTGTGACGCGGCGGCCGGAAGAAACTTGAAAAACGATAAAGGAGGTTCTCGCGCATGGATGTTCCGTCTTCATGATTGTAGATGTAGGGAAGACGCCAAATAAACTTTGAACTTTTGTAATTTTTGAAAAACGTGTTTTTTTAACAAGATCTATACCTTCTTAAACGTTTGTCACGATATTCAACAACAAAATTTAATCAAAAACAATGGAGCCATTTTTTTAAATTTGGAAAATGTTCCAGTGGTTTCATGTAAATTATCTCCCAAAATTGAAATGTTGGTTTAAAATTCAAGCGGACGCGACATCAATCAGATTGATTGAGGAATATCAATTTTGGAGATACTTGGCAGAACGGTTTAGTCGCTAATGTTTTTCATAGACACACATTTTGCAGTCAATAGATTTTTCGGTATAAAGGAATCACAAACCATGGATTCATGAATTGTACACCAGATGTGTTAGAGTATTTTTTCTAGATTTAGCTTTCTCTCTAGTCCGTAGGGAGAAAGAAACAAATGAAGAGTACATCAAGATAGACAGATTACATTCATTGCAGTAACTACGATAGAAGAGGTAGGTATTACGTGAAATACGTTTGAGGAATTTCTTAGGTAGTAATTGCACTATAAGTAAATATTGCAATGCAATTGTTTTCACAAGTATTTTTAGAAAATTGAGTAAAATATGAAAAAACTATATAGAATTTCGAAAGAATAAATGTTACTTTCTCATTGTGTTGATTTGTAATATTTTACTGTGGTTCAAAATCTTTAATATCCTTGTAACAATTTTATTTGCTACTCCTTCCTCAAAAATATATGAAACCTATCAAAATCAGTAATTTAATTAATAGCATTATCGAATTCTAACTCAAGAAAAACAATGTTGATTAACTTCAAGTGGGTCAGTCGGTATTAAAGAATAGAACTATAACGTAATGTGCATAGTTCATTTAGTAGAAACGTCTCAACATATGAAGAAAAATATCATAGACAAAAAGTTAAATTGCTTTTAAAGAGG